CCAGCTTCTCAGTACCTTTAGATCCCTTCCTCCTGATTATTTTTTTGTTCCAAAAATTAGTACCTTATTAGACTTCACTACCTTACGCATCCACCAACACCATAGGCTCACTGCATTTTCATGAGAAAAGAAGCAACATCATAACCTTAGTTGCATTCCTTGGTCATGGTACTTCTACCTCGCAAGACGGGCTACGATCACACACCACTGTCCAAGCATCAGCTAAGCTCAAATAGTTTTGATGGGGCTGGCTTGAAATGTTCTCCTGTGAATAAGAGTCTCCTGTGAATAAGGCACTGTACGAACTGCAGTCAACTGCGATAGCCCCCTCCGGCCTAATGCAGCAAGCAGGAGGGGCACTCCGCACACGGTAGCCTGAAGGGAAGACACGGGGAAGGCTCCTAGACTCTTCCTCTCTCATGACGGTGAAATGAAATACTGGTATAGTCACCTGCTAGAGTTTTTACAGCACCAAACCTGAGGGTTGGGGGGGACAGGAGGTTGAAGGGTCTTTCACGGTTCATTAGAGCTAACTGATCAACTAATTTGAAAACAAAGGGAACCATTACTACAAGGAAGCTTTCCACATTTAACCGGCTACTGCAAAGTGACCCGAACTCAGCCTGGTAAGCCTAAGGATTGCTGCAGGCAGCCTACTGACACCCCTGGTAACAGTAGAGACAACCAAACTGTTACACAGGCAGCTACCCATGGCCCTTTTATCCACAGCCAATCCAGAGATTAAGTACCCGCACTCCTTTTGAGAAATAAAGGCAAGTATTCAGATGCAAGAAGCTGGTTGTCATGTTTTTGTTTTTAAACGTGGCCTCCAGTTTCTGTGACCTTCATCATGGGAGGGCTACTGTTGCTAATAAGGACTCTGGAGAAACTTGGCCTTAACAGCCATCTCCAGCCTTAAAGGCATTTGCAAGTGTTTTGTCCTTAGGGTGGGGAGGGGAGACCACCTCCAAGCACTAGAATTAAGGTTTCTTCATCCTCACTTCCCACCCCCAACATCAACAAGATTTTGTAGAGGTCTTGCCAACATCCTCACAGCTCTTTTTATGCAACTTTTGCTCACAGCCATTGTGATCACTCCTCCTAGATCATACTCCAGATGATAAAAGGGTTAGGTGCTGCAGCAAACACAACTCAAAGACTGCACCTTAAAAATTTAAGCTGCCAAAATGACAACGTACTGGGGTTTTTATTAGTATTGAAAAGATGAAAAGGTTCATCTTTTGGACATAAGTACTTCTGCTTAGTATGCACACGTTTAACTTCATTAATAAAACTACTACAACAGAACTCAATGCTGAATTTCAAGTTACACTCTTACTAACATCATGGCAAAACAAGAACATAAAGGTGCACAAAACAATAAAAGCTACTACTACTCCATGCAATGGCAACGCTAGGAACATCTTCGCCTATATTAGTGCCCCACTATACTACAAGTGCAAACTGAGCCATCATCCTAATCCCTTCACAGGGCAGGGAGCGTGAATCCTCTTTGTTTTAAGAATGAGCCAGAAGTACACAGATATTAGGTGACCTGTCACATCAGAACCTTGAGACTGTAAATTAGCATGCATCTCTCGAGCTCACTATCTTAACCAGCAAAGCAGTCTTCCCCCGACAAAGTACACAACGACACACAAACACAGAAAGGATCTTATGCTGTATTGCAAACCGTATGCTATTCTGAAAGTTAAAGCCTCTCATTTTTCCCAACAGAGCCATTAGATGACAGCTAAATGAAGCAGCAGGTCCAGTTTCTCAATAAGGCATTTGCAATACCACATTACCAAGTTGTACTGAGAGAGAAGCTGGCACCAAGACAAAGGAAGCGATAGAAATGAAAGACGAGGAGTTTTAGAAGCAGACACATTTGATTTCAATGTTCCTGGCTCTTCCACTGACCATTCACGCAGCCTCAGCAAAAATCAAAAAGCACACGCTTGCCACATTGCTTTATCTTGTGAATTTAGTATGGACCAAGACCTTCCCAGCTGAAGGAGCTCAACAAGTTCATATAGCACCTTATGCACCAAGACCATGGTCTTCTTCATGGCCTCTACGGTAACAAATGGGACAAGTCAGATGAAAAACAAGGTTATGAAGGAAGACCAGAAAAATCATTCAGAGAACGCTCACTGCAGGTCTGAATCACCTGAGATAACAGACCTTCAAGAGAAATTCTGGCATACACCTGGCTGGACAGAGAGAACATATTGCAAAACACCCACGCTTACCCCTGGTAAAGTAAGTGATCTCTATCAATCCCACACAGTTTGAAGGTGAGCAGAAGGCATTTCCTCCTAGAGGACAATAAAGGAGGAACAATCAGGTACACAAAGTGCGGGGGTGGGGGGGGGAAAGGTGTTAAGAGGATAATAGCTCAGGAAGGACAGAGAGTCAAAACTCATGCTGATAAACAGAGGCAAAGAAAATGCCTTTAAATTTTGCAACTGATCAGAGATTTCAGAGAAGATTCCCTTGCCCACCCCCCCCCCCCCCAAAAAAAAACCCCAGATCCTTCTCTTCAGTACTTTTAATCAATAGCAGGAGGTAGCGCAACAACATAGCTGTGAGACGTTCTCTGGAGACGTGCAGATCAGAAGGCTTCTCTTAAACTGAAATAGGATTTAGTGAAACAGAGACAAAAAACAGTGATTAAAACTTTAATTTAAAACTTTGCCAACAAAAAAATTGATTACAAAACAGGGAAATTATCTGTACAAAATAAGAAAGGAGGTACTCATTTAACAAGAGACTGCCATTGTCAGTGTTTGCCCAAGGACACACAAGTAGCGCTTGAGGTCAAACGGCAAATGAGGAACACGCAAACTGAACTTGTAATATGGAATTCTGAAGTGGATCTTCCATAAACCAAAATAAATTGAAGTTTTTCAAAAGCAAATTGAGACTTATCAGAAGCCTATTTCCCTTGCAAACCCTTTCCTCTTGATTTACAGAGGGAGGATACACTACAAAGTGAGACCCAACACAGCGCACAGGGCCAGGACAATGACTTGTGCCACGCTTCGTCCCTCTCGTACCTTCATGCTGGCCTTCTGTGCGAAGATGTTCTGCAATCTGTGCGTGCCAGAGTTTAGTCACAAACTACTGCATCTTCACTTAACAGTTAGGTTCTGACTCAAAATAAAGAGAAATGCTTTGGAGACAGTGATATTGCCATGACTAAAAGATGACGAGCTGCATTATGACTCCTATAAAAATGATAGTTCTGAAACTTTTCAAGTTAGCATCAATAACAGCTGCCAGTCAACAGTAGATTAGTATTTACAACAGTGCAGTCCTATTTTCCTCCTACCATTTTATAGAGGGACAAGATCTTCTTTAGAACTTATCACTGAATGGACAAAAACAGCAGGTGATTTCTAACTCCACGTTCCTGTACAATCTAAACACACAATATGATCATTACTGGTTTTCTACATCTGCCCATAAGCCAGATCAACAAAACTGAACTGCAATACAGAAATGGAGCATGCATCTTTTTCAGATGAGCCAGGTGAAAACTTTCAGGCTGACTGCTTGATTTCAGAGTTTCACATTAAGTGGTAAGTAGTATTTTACAAGTTTTTAAACCTTCAGAACTCAGGTTTAGTGAAGAAAAAGCAGTAGTAAGACAACGTTTGGGCCCAGATTCACTTCACCTAGTTGTAGATACCCAAGGCACCCGTGCTGGGGCAAAACTGCCCTCTGTGGCCTAACTACCCAATAAAATGACAGACAAATGCTGGAGGAAAATTCAGTCTAAGATCTGAATCTCACCCTAGTGGTGCTCTTTTTCCTCCAACTACAAAGGGAGGAAAGGGCAACTACACTCCAAATCAGAAGCCTCAGTTAAGCCTAGGGCAACTACATTCCCAGCTTAAGTGTCGTCATCTACGTGAGCTCAGGCCTTACTTCTCTCACTAGCAGCTCACACCTAGGGGAACTTGGGGGACAGCTACATTTTCAAATTCTGAGACATGCATGAGTCCTCCTCACAACAGGGAAAACTGAGATAAGCAAGAAGCTTGCTCAAGTTCATACGGTGAGTCAGTAACTAGCTAGCATTACAGCTTCCTGGCTCCTAGCCCCATGCTCTGCCCACAAGAGCCCAGTATTAGGAAAATACTATACAGAATCATTCCCTTCTCCACGTCAAAAAGTTTTAACCAAAAAATAGAGATAGTAATAGACAGTTTATGTAGATTTTTACTGAACAGTGGAAGAGTCCTTTAGTAAATCTGTTCTGTTCTGTTGCATCTTGAACCTGGAAAAGTTTATTTCCAGCTTTGATTCTTTGATGTCTTAAAGCTTTTAAGAGAAAGTTGTAGAGTCGATTAACAAACAATGCTGCCATCAGTACCCTTCACACTGACTGCAATGATACGTTAGGTTTTGTAGTTGTAAATTAGTATTTGTGCTATCCAGTTTTGCAATCAGAACAGAAACCCTGAAGCCAAGTTGCTGTATATCTCAAAAAAAAAAAAACAAAAAAAAAAACCACCAAGCCAGGCAACCTCAGTTTAAACAGAGCAAGCCTTGTACATGACATGAAGAATTCAGAGATTTCAATTCCGAGAATATTTGTTACGGCAATTTCAAACGAAAGCCGTCTTATCCTTAGTCTTGCCCATCCCATGCTGCAGCAGATAGGACAAACGCTGCGTAACAGGAAAAAACTGCTCTCAAAATACAGCTTAATAATGGAAGTTAAACACTTGCACTTTGCTTTATAAACGCAGCACAGATATATCACTTAACGTTTTCAAAGACCCTGCAACTTGAGCACAGCTACGGAGAAAATCAACTTCCTAATCATAGGGGTTAGTTTGATCTCTGCCACACACTGGATTCTTACCTTACCACAGCCAACAAACCTTTGAACACACCAGGCGAGATAGAACACCATTAGGTTGTTCCAGCACATCACAGGCCAGGATGCCAGAATAGATGCCTGTTGTTACAGATGGACAATACTGTACAAAGAAGGCTTTTTAATGGCGGAATCAAATTGAATACTACTTGCTAACCTGAAGCAAGATCTACATTTTTCCCTTCTGGAGTTTTTATTTTGTCTTGCACCAGAAAGATTCTTTCTAATCAGTTAAATCCAAAAATACTACAAAGAGCTCATTCTTAAGCACGCTCTGTGCCAGGAAGAATCGGTCCTACGTGCCATTAAAACCAAAGAATTGCTGTTTTTCGAGAGCAGGAGTTCTTCACTGGTCACCTAGTCGGAAACCTTGGCCCCAGTTGTGTCTTCCACCACCTTGTTGATCCTCTGCAGCTCTTCTCATGCTCGCAGGTGGGATGCCAAACCCTGACACTCCTCCTCTTCTGTTGGGCAGCCAGCGGTACCTAGGGCAAGCCACAGGGAGGAGGGAGAGAGAGAGTCTGAGCAAGAGCTGTACCTTGGGGTGTAACTAGCAGATTAGCTCTCCCAGCACTTCCTTTGAGCTGCTAGACTCGGCAATAAAATTAGCTTTTGAAAACAGTACCTCACAGAATTCTTTCCAAATGTGAAGCCCTCGTCACAGAAACAGGAATTCTGGGGAACTTAAGTCTCTGTGATATGGTCATACACAATAATCCAAATGGAGGAAAAATACACGGTAAGGAAGCCTCAATGTTGAGAGCAAACACTGTGATACCAACTTAATTCCCCTAAATTCCCTCTCTTTTTCCCCAGAGAAGTAATAAAACCAAAAAAAAGAAAATACATCAAGCCACTGCTGAGCATATCTCTTTAACACGTACAAAGCTCCACCATCCAGCCATCCCGCTACTCTCTGAAGTAAAGATTCCCAAGAAACTAAGGACCAAAGAGACTAAGGGAAACACAGGTTCAGCCTGACTATCTAGCCTGACTGAAACCAAGGTTTAATTGACTTGGCCAGAACAAATCAGGGCTGTAAAACCTCACCATTCAAATTAGGTTACCATTTGAATAGGCAGTGATCTAAAACAACTTTTGCATTTTGCAAGCGACACTATCAATTCAGAGTCATTTGAGCTCTACAGTACATAGACAGTCATACTGCACTCCCGTAAATACCTTGCTGAATTTGGCCATGAAAATCTGAGGCCCAAGGAAAGAAGAGAGAAACAGCAACAACAGAAATTCCTTTATACAAGAAAAGTGATCCATTATAAAAGAGTTCATTACTCTATTAAAGGTATCAGTAATTCATCAGAGCCTTTTTTTTTTTTTTTTTTTAAATAAAACACTGCAGTACAGAGACAGAATTTATCCCTTTAGAGATGTTTGCCATAGATCTTTTTGTGAGAATCAGGAACAGAAAAGAATTAAATACCTGTAACAGGAATCAAGAGAATTGCACACGATCAACAAGATTGATGGTAGTTTCAGAGCTGTTATTACTTTGAAAGACATTTTAAGGTAACATTTTGTCTTCTAATCTTTATGGAAAATTAGGTTTAGCAGGAGGGCTTGCAAAGATAAAACCGGTGTGTACAGCCTCCCCTATTCAGATTAAAAGCTGTACAGAAAGTACAACCGTAATTCAACTTTGCATCTTATAATCAACACTTTAGGTTATTAAAAAGGATTAATTCAGTTGCTAAAGCTTAGTAGAGAAAGAACATTCACAGCCCAAAATGATGATGACAAGGCGAACTGAGGAGATGATCGTCAGCTTTGATCTCAATCTTTCAATGCCAAAACAATGAACGGATTGCAAGAAAAGGCACTTCAGAAACCCAGATCTGCAGTTTAATCAAGGCCACTGGTATCAACCGCAGAGCAAAATATATATTATAGTACTGAACAGATCTACAGCAGGCTTCTGTTCTGTTGTTGTTGCAGGTTGCTAGCCTGTTGGCTAACACGGTACATGGAAATACAGATAAAAGATAATTTACAGGGGAAAACGTGATTAAGAAACAAAACACCAAAAAACAGGCAGATATTGCCTGCTGATTGTCAGTGTTCAATCCTACACAGTTCAGCACACAAGCAGAAATAGGACTTTTACCTTAGTCTCAGGAGTAGGCAAAAAGCCATCCACTGTGTGGTAACAAGGAACTTCCACCTAAGCAACTTACAAGCAACGCCGGGTTTTTTATGACTCAGGATATCTAGTATGATTTTCTATGCATGCAGCACAGTCGGTAGATTGAAGTAAGTTGATTTAGGAAAATATTTTACACCCCATCCCAACAGGTGTGTGTTATATAGAAGATTGTTCCAAATAAACAGTGAGCCAAAGAATAAAGCCAGCTTACAAGAACTGAGGTGTGGATAGAAAATTCCTTCCTCCTAAATCCATTGGATATTTAAACATTAAGAAGAAATACAGGTGTCCAACCAGATTTCCTATCAGCTCATTGATGACCCTGCAAGGCAAAAGAAAAAGAGTTGTTGCACATGCTCTCTTTTCCAGAGAAAAATGACCATCTTCTGTCTGTTAACCCTGTTCAGCTGCTATAGGTATCCCCATGGCCACGGGCAACAGAAAATTTCCCTTCTCTCAGTGTTTTGCATTCACATCTTTTGAAGTGCCAACCTTCTGTGCCAACACATCAGCAGGCTGCTTCACCCTCCCTTCCAAGCCTTCTCTACAGATTGCACTGAAAATGCAATTAAATGCTTGTTTATATCAGTGCATTAGACCATATAGCTATTAGTGTCTAAAATAATAGTCTACCTAACTTGAGAAGTTACTGCTGTTTCCACTGGACAACCTGTCTCCTGCTGTACTGAACAGTTTTGTTCCCAACTCTGCAAAAACACTGCTGAATGAAAGCCCTCGAGTATTTTCTGTCATGCATAGAAACAGCAGGTATCCAACAGCAAGTAGTTTTCTCAAGTGATGGATGAGTCAGTAGGAGGCACAGCCAGAAAAGGGAATTTGGAATTGCTGTACTCCTATCTCCTCTTACAAATCAAGCACATAACTTGTTATTATTACTAATTGTGTTACAGCGGCACCAAGAGGCCCCAACCAATACAGGGGCACTAATGCGAAGACAGTACACAAAGGGAGGATTTCTGCATCACAGAGTTTAGTCAAAAAGATGCAAGACAGACGAAAGGATTCAGAAAGTACCGGCAGCTACTTTGTCGGCTTTTTATTGCCGTATTTCTGTTTCACAAGCAGAAGAAAATAGCGTGCTGGACAAGATTTTGAGGGAAAGATTTTTTTTTCTGTCTGAATCAAGCTGAGTTTGTTTCTAAAACCAGTAATAATGGTTGATCGCATGGGATGAAATCTTTCTTTACTGAAAGTCTAATGCATAGACCTACTCAAAAATAAACGAATTCTTATCCCCTCCCCCACCTTCTCTAGTTCGCTTATCCACAACTCTCCTCTATTGTTTTTATATTAAATAATCACCGTATGACAACGAGCATTACCAGTTGTATGAATACAGCTTTAAGGCTCTTCTTTTAATATTGCTGCTAAATTTAGTGACAAGATAAATAGCTGTGAAAGCCTTTATAGCTTCAAACTGGCCATATTAGTAAATACATACGATCCGCCAATGATGTAGTTGAATCCCAGAATAACCCATGGAAGGTAACAGGCCTAAAAAAGAATTAAATGGACATAGAGGACTCGTAAGCACAAGTGAAGGACATACGCCTGCATATGCTCCATTACAGTTTTGTAAGTATGCCTATGTCACCAGCGTTTTAGACATTACACAAATCCTGATATATTAACTTACGTAGATTTTAACTAAAAGGTAGGATACTCTAAACTGAGCAATCACTAACGTTTTTAGACAAACATACTCATTTAAATGTTGTAGGCAGATGTCTCCTGCACTCTGTCTTCCATAGAAAGCTTACATCTGAAAAGTCCTAATATTTTTGAACTTGACAAGGTTTGGAAACAAGTATCAGAAGAGTTTTCACTACAAAATCTGGCAGAAACAGAATAGGTTGCAAAGTAAATAAATGTTTAAAATTTCAGCATTTTTATCATCATCATTGAGCTTTTATTTCGGTTAACGTTCCTCAGGAAAATTTTTCCTCTTTTTTTCAGGCCAACAAATTTCAGACGTCAAGACATCTTTTCAGTAAGGCCACACTGGGTGACACAATATGGAGGACCACGGAGAAATTTGTCTTCACTGCCTCTCAAGGAGTCTCTAGCTTTGTGAAAGTATAGATTGTCTTTAATAAGAAAAAAACATTTGTATTTTGAATGCTGGTTTACATAGAACTAATTAACTCCAACAGCATCTAGCATCGCCTTCCCGTGCATCTCAACTGCAGAAGCTTTTCCAAAATGTTTTCTGATGTACCTTAAATCTTGTTCCAAACCAAAATGATACAATCATGTCTCTGTTCAGCTGGGCCCAAACATAAAGCACGGACATGATGAGAGGAATCATCAGCAACTGCAACGTTAGAAAAAAACAGAAAAGTTACCATCGCTTTCATAAACACCTGAGAAACTTAAACAGGTAGTAGCAACTACAAGCTTTAGAAATGGTCTATGAGCACGATACATCACCAAAATCCTTAAAAGTTTACCCCAGAATCTTTGCCATCAAACATCATGGATCTGTTCACAATCTCATGAGAAAGCTAAGGAAGAACACCAACACATTCACTCTGCATTGCTGTGCTGGAAAATACCTTCTCTGTTAATGAAGACAGGGCCCCAGGAGGCTGTGTATTTTGGCTTACGTGCTCACCTCAAGTATCATAGGCTGTTCACTTCCTAGTATAGATATCAAATTATTAACTCACTTAAAAAGCACAGATTTTGTGAGCATCATACCAAATATGATTAGCTCTCCTCCTCACTCTGTGATTAGCATCTCCGCCTCACACAGGCGGGCCGATGCTTCAGCGTAGTGCAGCGGAGACACAACAAGGCATCTCAGCACATAAACCAATAAGTAAGCACAAGAGCATGTGAAAGCAAAGGGCTACAACTCTTACCGAGTAAAACAGCAGCTGGAGCCAGGTCTACTGCTCCCAGCTGCTTGGTACCATACCTACAGTAGTCAGCAGCACAGCATATATTTGTGCCCCAGTCGTTTCCGTTCATGAGCCAGGGCTCTAACCCAAACACACCCTCATCTGCAGCTAACACGCCAGATGAAGTGTTACTGCATCTACTTGCCCACTGCGTCTCTCTCAGAAGCTACCACCACAAAGGGAAGGTGTACCGCTGCTTCAGCATCACCAGCTCAAAGTACCACAGCTAGATTTGGCAAAAGTGATCTCAATAGAGCCTCGAGTTAAACCTTGTCCCGCACCAGGAGATGAGACCGTTTCAAACACTCCAATCAGCTATGTACAGTCACAGTACGGAAGTATTGTTAGCGAAACAAATATAAAGCAGTATTTCAGCCGTCTGCTGATTTCTAAACTGAAGAGAGGCGCTGCGCTAACAACATTTCTATAAACTGGCTTGAACATCATCACCCAGTTTGGCTGACTGGAACCAAAGTTAAAGCACATGCCTTCAGAGGTGGCCCTAATTTAACGAGTTCCACTTTAAAGGTGGCATACCTGAGTCAATGCAGCCTTCCCCAAGCCCTAAGTTGCACCAGCAGTCTGGCTGTTCACACAAGCACTCCAAGTCCTTTATTAAACTAGTTTTTGCTTTCTGGAAAAGCAAAGTGATGTCTAGACTCTGAAAGTATCTGACGTGGGAATAAGGGTCCATGATAACTCCATCTTCTCACTTTGCAAACAAGCCACTCAACAGGAGCAAAAAAACCCTATTTCTAACAAAAAAAAAAAGCATATTTGTACACCAAACAACTGCTCCTCTTTCAAGGCATACTTTGAATGCAAATTTAAAACCATTTTAATTCCCCTTTTACAAAGACGACACAAATCAGTGCTTCAGTCTCAATTCAAACAACGCATGTGTAATTGCAGCATTCTTCAGAAAAATTTCGTGGAGTCTTCCCCCAGCAATAAAGTTTCAAGGGCCAAATCACAGACAGCCCATAACAGCACTCAGTCCTCACTGTAGATGCATGATCACTCTTTTTTATCTACCAGAGGAAACTCATAAATGATCTAATAAATGCTAAGATAATCTTCTACAAAATACTGGAGATACTGCTGTAGGCCTTGGGTGATGGGGACAGAAATTAGATGAAGAAAGAACATCAGAGGCAGGCTGAAAGAAAACAGTTATCTAATTAGATACTCTGTTGTATCTGATAAATGCTTCCGCCTTTTCCCCTTAGAATTTGGGCAGATAAGAACTGCCTTATTGAAACTGGTTATTTAGATCACTATTTTAATCATTCTTGGGAGGATTTTGCACTTCACATGTCCGGTATGAATCTCAAGCAGCATTTTTCACAAAAAGATCCGTCAGCAAGCAAAAGGAAGGAATGCTGTGAGAGGAATTCGAGAAGTAATGAACCCAAGAATCATTTTTAGCTAAAAAAATAAGAATGCACCTCCACAGATCTTATTATGCATTCATTAGAGCAAATGGTACCTAGGTGGAACTCTGGGTCCATTTTAGTAAAAAGCAGAACACTTTCTAACTAGAAGACTAGATTTTCATTCCTCGACTCCCTACCGACATTATTTGGGGCAGAGTCAGGTTAGATTAGGCTAACACAAACTACTTTGAAAGTCAAAAACTAATGGTACACACATAACTAGTCTATTCTGATATAAACTAAAACAACCTAGCTTAACTCATGATGTGCAATTATGCAGGTACGCTGTTTAGAAAGTCATTAGTCACAAAGTTCCAAAATATTTTTTTAAAAACTGCACTTACCTGCATGTCCATTGCCAAGCCAGTTATCTGTCATTGCATCACTAAGGAAAATGCAATAAAACTTGATAGATGAGAATGACAAAAAGAAGCTACACATACACACATTGAATACACATGGAAAGGCCTCTGACTTTACAGCTCAAGCATAAGCAATGGCCATGTGAATTATCAAGTTCAGCTTTGGAAAGATGAAAAGCCTTCAGGGATGTACAGACCCATGCACATTGCTTATGTGCATCAACAGTTTTTCAGTAGCCTTTCAAAGCTATCACTTGAAGTCTTTACACTGAGGGCTGACAGATGCACTGGCCCTCTCTCTGCAGTGCAACTGGTTAACCCCAAACCCAATCAGTGTTTGCAGAAAATCACGTTACAGGCCAGGAGCTGACTCTTTCAATAGTCTCTTTAAACACAAAAGTGCTGTTTTTATAACCGAAAGCATACCAGATCAGAACAAAATATCTACTATCGCAACTGGGCCAGAGAAAATAAATAATTTACTGAAGCGTATCAATGCAGGTGCAGGCTTTTAACAGAATTTTCCTAACTTGGAACATGAAGGATCTGCTTGCTGTCGTAAATGCCGGGGAGAAACAATTACTGAAGAATTACGCTATGATCAGAATGCTTTTAATAGTTCAGGAACGAGTATAAAATGGCACTAAGCTTTTTCCCGGGTTACATATCTGGGTTACTCCTTACACCATATATGGAACAAGCAACTGAAAACTTTCAAATGACCAGTCTGAAAGTCAAGTCAAAATCAGATTCTTCCAACAGCTCACAGCTCAACAGGCTCTGATGAGAATTAAGATGACGGTTTTCTCCACAACTTAACTAAACCTAGGTTGTTTTCCTAATTATTGCTATAGCTCAACAGGATCAGCGGGAATGACAACCACCATTCCCTCCATACAGTGGAACGTGACTTGAGATAGTCAGTCTGTCAATAAGGCAGCAGCACTTCTACACAGTAGCTTTTCTGGCTTATCTGGTTCATGCTGCAGTCACGGCTCCCTTTTTTCCTACATATTGTGCTACTGCAGATTGCTACAAAGGAGGCTAGGAACAGCAAAAATAGAACAGGAACAGAGATGATTTTTCTAATAGGGTACAGTAAGAAAGAATAAAGAAGTGCCATTGCGAACTACTCAAATCAGTTTTGTTCAAGAAAGAAACGCACCATGTAGTGAAGCCTGGGATCATTCAGCACTCACTAGCTAAAACAAGTCTTTTAGATAGAAATTGTTTATCCAACTCCAGCCCGACTCAGTATTCAGAAACATTATTGTTCCATGACTTTTCTGGCATTAGGCAGCAAGAACTACACTGAAATGAGAAACTACGCAAATAACCAGAATAAGTAACAATATTTGTTAGCTAAAGCCTGAACAACATAGACCGAGGAGGGCACATCTACACTAGGAAATTGAGTATACAGTAGAGATCCATAAAATCAAAGAATCATAGAAGAGTTGAGGCTGGAAGGGACCTCTAGAGATTGTCTAGTTCAATCCTTCTGCCTAAAGCAGGGTCAACCAAAGCAAGTTGCTCAGGATAGTGTCCAGTCAGGTTCTGAGTACCTCCAGGGATGGAGTCTCCACAACCTCTCTGGGCAACCTGTTCCAGTGCTTAGCCACCCTCACAGTAAGAAGGTTTGGGGTTTTGTTTTTTTTTTTTTTTGGGGGGGGGAAGGAAGGGTGTTTCTAAACATTTAAGTGACATTTCCTGTGTTTCAGTTTGTGCTCACTCCACCAAAAGCAACATTGCTCTCACAGACTTAGCTCATTTGTAACCAGCAGGTGACATCTCTCTCCAAGAGATAGGTCTCTTAAATTTCCAATTCAGGGAATAGCAAAGATCTGACCTGTTTGCAGGTCTGCCAGCTTAAGCACACTAAATGCACTCCTAGTCCATATGGCAATCCACACAAGTGGTTAGTTGAGACAATACAGTGACCATGATGGAAGCTCATGCAGCACAAGCAGAGCATTATATAAGCAGAGCTCCAGTCCCCAAATTACAAACCTTAATCAGTACACTGATTAGGACTCTCCCTGCAAGCCACTAACTACCTTTCCAGGAAGAGGACAACTTACCCGTGAACATTTGCTACGTTTTTAAATCTGTCAGTTGATAAAAATCTGGTCTTTTAACATATTTCAGAGAGAAATAAGAGAACCAAAATATTCCAGAAGTTTGATGAGCAGAAGGATACAACAATGCAAATCCAATTAAACAGGAGCATGAACATGTAATCTGCTGGTCTTCCATCAAAAGCACCTGTAAATAAGAAAAATCATTAGGAAAACCCTTGCAAGGTACTTAAAATTTTAGAAATCAAGACTCCTTCCAATTCATTTATATAATGAAGGTCCACTAAAATAAAGGTCTGCAAACTCTGCTCTGTGCCCAAGTAATCAGCTAAGTTGGCAGGCAGCTGGAGTTTACTATTTTGCCTCGATTCTTCAAACAGGTATTCTGGATAACAACGTAGTATATCACAATCACAGAACTGTTGCAGTTCTTTTGACTTCCATCTACACAAACGCTGCCTAAGACTGCTTACAAGTGAGCTTTCCCTTGCTTATCCTGAGCATCTTTTCTAAGGATGTTGGTAGGAATGAACTCAACAGTATAGCTGGTTGATGAAGTCGACCAACACTAAAAAAGGGACACTATAAGCTAATATTGTGGATCATCTTCCTTACCTTTTTTATTTTTAGGACTTTCAGGAAAAACTCGGATAGTAATAGTTACCCGAAATATAGCCGGTAGCTTATGAGTTTGGTTTTGTTGTTGGTGGGGTTTTTTTAAATTTATTTTAAAGAGCCGTATAATGGAACAAACTACTGGAAACCAAGACATTCAGCCTATTGCACTGCATGTGCACACATCAGCTCTCTGTTAAAAAAATACAAAAAAACAAATCAAAAAAACATTAACTCTGGAGATAAGTGGATTTAACTTTGTAAGAGTTAACAGTTGGATTCAGTCCTTCCTAAGGAATTACCAGTTGGAAGCACACAGTAAGAAAACACAGCTTCACAGCAGAAGCGGAGACACAAAGTTTAACTATGAAGTCATAGGAAAACTAGTCCCTTCTTAGCCATCTTGCCTCTTTCTTGCATCATTTAGTCAGACAGGAGATGTGACTCTTTTTAGACTCCAGAAAAGTTAACAAACGTGACAGAAGAGTATACCTGTGCATGTACACATGTGCACCGTTCCTCCTTACAAGCTTGTTTCCAGTTCTGAATATGGATCAACATTTTAAAGGAGATTTTAATTAAAAAACAAAACCCACAACCACTCCTTGTGAACATGAAAATCATAAGCTCCCACTCTTGCAGATTCTGACAAGCGTGTTATCACAGACCTCGGCATCTGAGCACAGTTTCTGTCAGCTCTAATATAACCCCATACAGGCATGGAAAGCCCAAGAATACTACTGAGATACACTCAAAACATGCAGTAACAAACAGTAAACCACAAATAAGCTGAATTACGTAAAATTAAACATCAAAATGCCTAAGGATTTCCATTGTCAAAGGAAGCAAGCTGAAAAGAGGGACACTGTTCAATGTTAGCGCTATTTAGTTTCCTACAACTATTTTACATGCCCCCAAAATATAAAAAACCTACTTAGTATTAACTTTTTTTTTTCCTCCTACAAAAACAACTAGAATAACTCAGTCGATGTAAAGTAAAATTGATATTTCAGCCATTTTACTATTTAAGTTTCGCCACACAAGTTACAGGGGGAAAACAGGAGGGGTCACTTCAAAAAATACATTTTAGAAAGTTTTAAAGTTGGAGAACTACATGAACTGGAGTTTTCTCCTTACTGTTGCCACACAACGAATCTCAACAAATAAAGAGAGGAAGCTGACTAACTCTGTAGAAACTCCAGCAGAGCATAATATGAAGGAAGCAAAAGAAATAATTTTCCTTTCAACTTGTTCATTTCTCATTTTTCTAATGTTCTTGTTAATAGTCTCCTAGATAAAGTCTTTAAGTTGATTTTTCCATTTAACATCTGAGAAAACTGAGCTACAGACTCACAAGTGACACACAACCGAGCTGCGGAAGCCCTTTGCTATAACGAGTTGGTTCAGCACAGGGATGAGGTGGGCTCGAGCCCCCCACGTCCATCCGTGAGGCCCAGAATACTGTTCAGTCATCTGGGGAAGAGCTGCAGACTCATCGCATCATTCATACTGCCACTGAGCAAACTCTGCATATGCCCATTTTGGTTTCTCTGCTGATATTTGTGATGTGCTTCAACAGAAACAAGACAAAACACGTCAATCTCATTTTCCTCAGGAAGCTAGAGGTCAGCTCGTTAGGAAAACACCACAAGCACAGTACATAACCATATGGGTATTTTTACAGCTAAATCTCCTCCCCACATAGATTTGAAGTTAACATTTAACATTACTGTATGCTCAAAAGCCACATACAACCCCGAAAATAGACATTTTCGCTTCCTCACTTTCACCAAAGGGAGAGAGATCCCTTCTGATTCCAACCTGTAAATACATTAACAGTAACTTATCCACCTCCCACTTCAATAACTACAGAAGGATCCAAATCTTTTTTTTGAAGAAAGGAAAGGACTGACCTAATTAAAAATTTTTTTATACCAAGAAAAATGACCATTAATATGTAAAGGTGGCATGCATTGGTTCAAACAAAAACACACCAGCTGACTTCCCCATTTCAAAATCCAGGTGCACACATCAGGAGTGTAAATTTATTCTCGAAAGAATCCAGTGTCTTTCCTGACACTTGTGCTATAGCACAGACACCTAGATTTTTTAGTATGGGCAGTGATGCCTTATAATATATAAGGAACTCTTACTACACATAGCTTTGCACAGTAGAACATCATAGCTGCCATACCCTCTTGCATGCACGTCTATAATATTTTAGAAGACAAAAGAGAAAGAGGGACTGTTTCTAGCTCTCCAACTACTACTTACTAAGAAAAAAAGATATTTAAATCCAATCTGGCACCATGGCTGCATTTTTTTCCCCTTTCTCTGCTACTATTCTTATGAGAAAAAAGGGATTTTACAGTAGTCCCTGGAAGATAGATTTACTGGGGATCTCTTCTCTGCCTACCCAAACACCATCTTCCTATGCATTGCCACTTAAACCATCAGCTCTAAGACTCCATTAAAACTATACAGAAGTTCTTCTTCACAAAGGCTTTTAGTTCAGCTTTGTAAATACTTTAGCTTAATTATTTACCTCATTTGAAATAATTTTTGTCTAGCATTAATGGAACATGCAACACAATGAAACCAACTCTGAAGCTACCTTCTAACAACCACCTCTGAGACTATGAAAATGATGCTTTTTTCATAAACTGTGTTTTTCTCCATAACCTCCATAATTCTCCTTTCTACTGCTTCCCATTTTTTCCTCTAAATTGAAGTCCAACTAGTTTCCTAACTTTTTAACATTTCTACTTGACAGAAGGGTACATTTCATCCGTACAGGATTTCTCTCAACACAGGTGGTCAAACTACAGATGAAGACAGGTAAGCATCCCTGCCTTAAAAAAGCTGAGACTGTTATTTTCTCAAGAGGGATACATTTGCTGTTATATATGTTCTAGCATGCTTCCATGTTAAAGGAATCAGACACAGCAGCACAGAGATAAAGTTGTCTTCTATTCTCATTTCCTGAATTCCAGCTGGAAGCACCAGGCCATATTCACAGGAGAAGTGTCACATTTAGATCCCAAATGAACAAATGAAAGGGCCAGTTGCACCAGTCAGTTTTCAGAGCAGCTTCCTGTTGACCAGAGTAAGCGGGCACACCGATGAGCTAACTTTCTCATCAGTCTATCCAAGTCAGCCATGTCCCTGCCTCCACAAACCAACAGAAGCTCTAGCTGACAATGCTAGGTTGCTATTCATTCTGGGCAGAGTTTACCAGGTGCACGCAACTTAATGGAGAACATACCTGTTTCTAATCGTGACGAATATTGATACAAGAAGTATAAGTTCACCAAATAGAGAAATCCCGTTCCAGGTCCCACTGGGAAGAAGAAAGTTGCAGTTATCGGCCGCCAGATCTGTCCAGACCAAAAGAGAAGGAGGTCACTTTTATACACTGTAGAATAAATTAATATGCGCAGTCTTCTTATTTCATTTGTTACCAATTAGGTGGAAGATTAAGGAGTAGATTAAAAATACGTTGTCCAACTACCCATTTCTGCTACTTCAGCAGCCTTTACAGGCTTTTCTTTTTATGACCTGATAAGCAAAGCTACCAAGATTGCAACAGAAATCACACGCAGGTTTTTTTTTTCCCTAGATCCTAAACATGTGCAAACCAAAAGGGCAAAATCTTAGAATCTTTTTTTCTTCTGTTGAGGGTTTATGTCCTGTTTGCAACCACCCTCTGCACTGTTAACACATCCAACAACACTGCACGTCTGAAACTCCAGCACTTCAGTGTTAATTTACATCAACCACAGGCACAGAAGTTGACAATCACCTAACAATTTTAAATTTTAAGTAATAACACAAACTCTACAAAGGCACGTAAAATACACTTCGCTAGCTCTGCCTTAACGTTTCCAGACGCACCTCGGGTTTAGGGCAGTTCTGTGCCTGCCTGTTCACGGGGTCGTACACACACGATCGCTTTACATGGTGAGCACGGCTGGGAGAGTCACCTGGAGCCCAGAGAGCACCCAGGCACAACCAGTGACAGCCAAGAGGGCAACCTTGAAAAAAAATACCTAGGAAAGGGGTGCAACAGGACGGGGTTCAAGCCAAACTACAAGCTGCAAGGGCACCTGCCTCCTTTCTGCTCGTCAAAGGGCCCTTGACAGGGCTGAGCACCACCACCACAGGTGTCACCTTGGTGGGGAGCCTTGGGGCTGCGGAGGACTAGCTAAGCCCAGCTCGGAGGCTGTACACACCTTAAGCGACGGGCTCGCTCATGAGGGCTGCCCCAGTGCGGGGCTCCCTCCCAAAGGGGCCGCCGA